GATATATTAGGGAGACAAATAGAGTGGCCTAGAAAAAGTGGGGATGTTATTTTTTTAAATAACGCTCATTTACGCCTTTATTTATTTAAACCCAAAGGGCTACTATACAAGATGAAGCAAAAATGACGGTACTCCCGTAGTATATGTACCAGGTTAGGATTAGGCCATAATTCTATTCCGATTTTCCTTATTTTTGTTCCGCGAGTTCGGAGACAGTCTGTGTTAACCAAGTGAATATAACCCCTGCTTATAGGTTTCAGTTCCTTCACACAACTTGATGTAAAAGTAGTCGAACAAAATTAGTTACCTTCATTATGGTACATACACTTCTGGAGCGCCAAAATAACTCCCACATTTCAATTTTCAAAAAAATAGAGAGTGTAGCCTTTGTTAAATGTTTATTACATACTTAATTAACAAGACATTCAATTGCAATTTTGTGTGAACGGCTTTTTGGAAACAACGTCTTTGAGATGGTTTAATACAGCTGCAATAGATGTTGTAGGCGTATTCTTAAGTCTTCCATTTCTCTCTAAGGTAATTCCAATGGACGATTGCTTCATCTTGTTGAAACCATGCCATTGCATTTTTCCAACATCCCTCCTCACCCCTCCTCAAAAAATAAGGACACCAAATTTCAAATATAGCAATGGCACACCAAAAATGAGAATAAGAGTTTATCTATATATTAGAGCAGAGGATAACAAAAGTATTTATACTGTTATTTGTTGCAAATATGCCGCTTACATAAAAGGTATTATATTATGTTTGTATGGTGGATTTGGGAAACGCATGTGTTGTATTATAGGAAGGGATTGGTCCTTATATTTGTGTTCTATATATTCCATATATATACAATATAACCTACTTGAACGATCTTCGTGTACTCACTGCAGACTGGACTAGACATTTTGTTTCATCGGGAATGCTGTTAAAGTCTACAAATTCAGACAAATATTCAGCATTACAAATTTATTCCGTTCTCCCGGTTAGTCACAAAGTAGAGGAACCTGATCATAAAATTGGAATGTTGTTAAAATAGATTCATGAAATATATATATACTGATTGAAAGATATTGATAATTTTACGCATACGTTGTTAATCCCAGCATATGTAAAATAAAATAATTGAAATTAAGTTAACCAAATCAGTTGAAGAAATTGAGCTCATAAATATATTCATCTGAAGAATTAAGTGCATCTATGGGTTTATAGTACTCAGTACTTTTATTTCAGTCTTTCCTAAAGCAAGGAAACTCACTCGGGGCATTTAGCGATACAGATGCTAAATTATATGGAGTTGTCATCAATGTGAAACACGACGATAATGAAAGAATAAAATATGAAAAAAAAACTACATGTCAGTGAAAAGACAGCTACTATAAATCGGATAGAAAATATATTTTTGACTTTAATTTACTCTGAATCTTCTTTTCCGATATTGCCCCTCGATTTAATACACAATAATTCTGTTTATATGTGTAAAGTTCATGGTGGCAATTGGAGGGAATGAACTATCTGATATTCTTGGAACCAAACAATTTTGGGAGAAGAAAATGGGAACTGTGCATCCGAGTTATAGGAGGAAAGGACTAATGCCTGAACTTATAAAAAGGCAAGATCAGTAAATGTCCTTATAGTGATAAAACTTTTTGTAACGTATCATCATCATATCGATATTAAAACTTTACTAATTTCTTGAAATTTAGAATCAAATTTTTGAAATGAATCAAAATTTTGCCGATGAATCAAATTTTTTCACAGAGATCAGAAGTTGAATTTTAAGCAGCGCGAGAAGACTGATCATTTGAATATTTTCTGCGCCAATAAACAATTTGGACTTAGCATCAACTTTTGTGCGTCTTGTTGCCATTTGTCTAGTTATAATTAAATTATAGTAGGGCGGGGGAAGATAGACACACGGGGTTAGATGGACACTTTTTTTCAAATTGACCTATTGGCGACATCTTATGGGGCTTGGTTCTGCAAATGCCATTGCCGAGTTCGTTGCTAAGGAGGGAAGTCGTTCTGGCCATTTCGGTTCAGCGCTTGGCGTAGTTCGTCAGTTGTGTAGCTTTCCACGTGGCTTGTGATTTTTGAAGGGTGAGAAAAGGGCATTTAGTAAGGACACGTTTTTCTTGGAGGCACTATATGCTCATTTTCAGCAAAGGAACTCTGAATCGCGCGTTTGTTGGTAAGTTTATACTTACTGACAATGATTTAGGACTAACTGAGCGACTTGTGCCATCTAGCAGCTAACTATATCTTTCAGCATGTGATCATGTAAAAATGGGGGGGTTATGAGGGGGTAATAAATTTCTTACGTTTTTCGGGCTTATATTTACTTTGACCGTTCAAACCCGTTCTTTGTGAATAAGATACCAGAAAGTCTTCTTTTTAAGTTTGTTATTGCTTTTACCTGTCAAAACACTTCTTGGATAATCTCAATAATCTTATGAAATTATGGGGGGTGGCCATCTTACCCTTATGTACTATCATGTTTTTCCAGATGCAAGTTTTGGATGCACGGGAAACAGAAAATCCTAAAGAATGTTGAGAAAATACCAAAGAATATCAAACAGAGGCAAATAAAAAATAGAGACTACGATGTACCATCTCATGAGGTTAACACCACGACAGAGATAGAAAGTGTCACAAGTGAACCATGCTGCTCTGTGCTCTCTAACGATTTTTTCAAGTAGAACTTCACCAGGAGTTCAGTTAGTTTCTGATAAAGTCAGTGATTCTTCGAGGCAAGAAAATAGCAGAGACCTGATAGCACCAGTTTATCATTTGAATATATTTGCCTCTTCCAGTAGCCACTCAGAGAGCCAAGAGGCAAAGAAAGCCATTCAGGCAGGAATTAGAGTGTTAACAAGTGAGACATATGTAGCCGAACTGTCAGCACTCGCAGAAACAACGCCACCTAGCTCGTTCAGGAAAACTACAGCACTCGCAGAAACGATGTCATCTAGCTCGTCTAAGAAAGTTGCAGCTCCCAGGAAGAAAAAAGAAAATAAACGGAAGAATGAGCGACATGAAAGATATTGTTACAGTAACCTCTGTGCTGTCTGCAACAGCAATTTTTTTGACGACGAAGAGGACGAGGGATGGATTCAGTGCCAGAAATGCCAAAAGTGGCTTTACGATATTTGTGCCGGGATTTATGGAAAACACATTGTGTCCTTCCAATGTGATGACTGCTCTGCTTGAAGCTTTTTTGTATAAATATTTTCATTCGAATGTAAAATTCCATGACGATAGCTTTCATGCTATCCCAGATGTTCTTTTGGTGTTATGATTAAGATTTGTGTAAAAGTATGATCAAATAAAATTTGGCTGCTTCACTAGGTGGTGTTTTATCATACTTTCGTGAACAATTATATGGGTTCACAACTTCAAAAATTTAAGGGGTAAGATGGACATAGGGGGATTTTTCGAATGCCCCAAAAAATTTTCCAAATACATTGCTTATTTTGATATTCTGATAAGAAACAGAACGCAATACTAGTATTTTGATGCGATTTTATCACATGTCCGTCATATCCGACCATATGTCCAACTTCCCCGAATTTTTTTTTCGTTTAAAAACGTTTCTGCTGTTGCGATAGTTGGAGACCGGCGGACGCCGCCGAGTGGCTAAAGAGTTCAACCCCTTATGTTTGTACTTGCAAAGTTTTAGGAATATTTGAAGAAAGGTTTTCGAAATATAGATAATTTTCAATAAGGGGGGCCATCATCCCCCGCCCTACTTAGGCTCATTAAACGAGTAATTGTGAATTATATATTTGTTACGTTTTATTATAATATAATCTAGTCTATGTAAAGAATATGTTACGTAAAGAATATAATCATTAAAACAGCTGTTTTGTTACTATAATTTAGTGAAGCGTCGCGGGCCGTAGTTTGCCGACCCCTGATTTATGGTTGTGCCCGAGTTGTAGCTGGCTTTCATGGTATGTCTTTGTAAGGGTTACCAAGAACATACTTTTTTATTAGGTGCATATTTATGCATATATTTGTATAGTGTTTTTGATATAGATATTTCTAGAGACCTTCACTTTGATTTTAAATTTGTTCTTGTTTCAGTCCTTACAATATAATATTACCAAAGCTGATTCATGGAAACGCCATTTTGGATAACATGTCTTTCCATTGAGTTAGGCTACTGTGGATATTGCTCATAAAAGCTTTTATTTTTATTTTTATTGAATGTGTTGGTTGAGAGTTGGGAGCTAGTCAAAAACAGCCGCGGACCCGCTGTGGAAAATCATAATTATTCTGTGCGTACTGATTCCACAAACCTCGTAGATTGAACTCAACTCAAATATATACTTATTATTTCAACATTGATCATAAATCGTATGATCGAATGTGGCACACGCATTTAGCTTTTACCAAATTGTAAAATGAATTATCAACTCAAATACTTCTTGTCTCAACATTGAGCATGGATCGAATGCGATGCACATATTGCAAGGATCGAAGTTCACGCATTTATCTTTTACCTAATGCGTAAATCCAATGGGAATGTACCAAATCATATAATTTCATACGTTTGTAATATAGAATTATCCAATTGTGCATTACGCGATTATGTTTGGGAATAACTGATCGTGTTATTTGTATGACAGAGAGATCAGTGTAGCGTTTTGTTTACTTACGGTATTACATAACGAAAGAGCGTAAACCACTTAGCTGTGTGGTAACTAATATTTGATAGCAGCATGTCTTTGCTAGCCGACCACAAACGGAATTTATCAGGAGCAGGTCAATATTACCTTTTACATAAGACAAGGGTTGTGCAATATACCGTACTCAGTGGTATGCCTAAGCTGATGTAATGCAAGTGTTCTCGGCCTTTTCAACGAGAATTAGAATGCATATATGTTTTGTCAGGGTGACTGGAAGATCAGCTTGAGAAAGTTGTTATATAATATCAATATTGAAAATTACCTGATATGATATTTATTATATATGCATATTGTATTAGACAGATTATGGCTTCAATAACAAACCTCACTTACAAACTTCTAAGCGTCAAACATCTATGCGCTGTCAGGAATTTGATCGAAGAACATTTCACATCTACATACGCATTGGGAGTATATTTAAATTGTACGAAAGAAGAATTGATTCCTACATATTATTCTCGGATAGAGGTTGGCTTGCTGAAATTATGCCTACACAACGTCGTTCATGAATCATCTGTCCATTAATAGTGAATATATACAACTGATTTTGAGATATATCAGTGAGGTGAATGGAGTGTAGCCTAGTTGGAAAAGGAGCGAGTATACATACCACTTGCATAAAATCTATTATATACTTGTACGATGGGTATGGTAAAAGTGTTGTATTATATGGGTCCCTTTCTTTATGTTCTATATATTCCCCATACCATAAAACACGTAAACCTCATATTGACATACGGTATGGGTCACGTTTTTGCTGTAGAGATAAAATAAATTATTGAATTGTGTTTATATTTTAGTTTTAATGTCGCGATTACTGCCTATAGAACTTATTATTGCTGTCACTCCCGGTTAAATATTAAATGACACGTTTAGTTTTTATTTTATTGGGTGAATTACACAATATGAATACATTGAATATATGCTGCATAAAGATATTGCATATGTATCGACTACGTTGTTAATACCAGTAAAATAATAAATATCTGTACATATTTATTTTACCCAATCAGCTCAAGGAATTGAGCTCATAAATATTTTCATCTTAAGAACATTGAGCGCATTTATATAAATATAATACTCTATTTTATTCCAGTCTTTCTTAAAGCAAGGAAATTCGCTCGGGGCATTTAGTGATAAAGATGCTGAATTATGTGGTGTTGTCATCAATGTGAAACACGACGACAATGAAAGAATAAAATATGAAAAAACACTACATATCAGTGAAAAGATAGCTACTTTGAATCGGGTAGTTTATTTATTTCAGACTTTAATTTACTTTGAATCTTCTTTATAATATCCCCTTTAAATTTAACAAATAATAATTCTTTTTATATGTGTAAAGCTCAGGGTGACAATTGGAGGAAATGAATTATCTGACATTCTTGGAACTAAGAAATTTTGGGAAATGAAATTGGGAACTGTGCATCCAAGTTATAGAAGGAAAGGACTAATGTCTGACCTTATAAAAATGTGAGATCAATAAATGTACTTATATAGTGATAAACTTATATTTTCAACTCATCGTCATCTTATCGATATTAAAACTTAAATAATGACTTGAAATTCAGATCTACCGTTCTTGCCAAACAAAGGGGAATTGAGAAACTTGTACGATTTCAAACATATAATAAAGCTCTGAAAAAACCGTCGAAAATGGACGAATTTGAAGTAATCAGACACATTGAATTGAAAAACTATCTTGACCCCGTCACAGGGCAAAAAGTGTTTTCGGGAATGAAACCACCAAATGACGTACAACTTATAATCGCTAAAACGTTGACTTAGTGAAATTCTGGGCCTCTGTATGAAGAACGGCATATGCCAGCTCATGATTTTGGCCATGTGACTCATTGATACATTGGAAAATAAAACCTATTTTGTATTCCCGCCCAAAAGTCAACATTGCGCATGGTTTATACTAACTGCTGAATTTCGATAATTTAAAGACCGGCTCGACAGGGTGAGGTACGCAGATAGATTATTCTGTAAATTTAATTACACTTTTTCTAAGAATTTTTTACTAATCTCTGACAGTAAGAAAAAATTATTTTTACAATTGCCGGACGCTGTGAAGTTTGCTAATAGTTTCAAATGCTAGCATTCATACAGGCGATAGTTTCATACAATATTCAAATCTCTTCTAATCATCAATTTTTTGCTTACTAAGCATTACTCATATTTTTATTGATATTAACGAACATCACAAAAATAGCTGATATTTGTTAAAAATATGTGGTTCTAAGTTGCAGTTAGTATAATAGCTAAATTACTGCAGCTTCTGATTGCTCATCGATGATTTTCACAGTCTAATTTCACTGTTGTGGCATTGAGTTATTATTAGAATTGAAATACGTTGTTGTTCTTTTTCGTATGCTTCTGACTGTAAGGAATTGACCAATCGATTTCATATTTTCCGTACTTCAAGATGGTTATTAATTTTAATGTTTTATACTTCCTAATGGGTATTTGGGTCACGATATTTCACCCCAAATGGGGCATAGAGAATTGCAGGGCCCAGTGAAAACTTGAGTGGAGCCACAATACTTGGCTCAAAATTGATTTTAATGCGGATTCTTTTCCATACTTTTTCATTTATAAGAAAATCGTTTCCGTAGTTTCACTAACTAAAAGGCTATTTCCAGTCACAGGGTGTTTTCACTTGTGCATAAATTGTTTGATCACAATGTGATTTGCAATCTATCTATTAAAATAACACTATAAGTAGGCTACCCCTGTGCTCTGCGAAAACTAGCTTTTGTGGTCGGTTGGCAGGCCGCCCGACGTACAGACAGGGTTTAATTAACCAGCAGCAGTACAACGGCAGTTATGCGAAAGTGCGAGATAATCGTCGTAAAAATGTTATGGACACAGAAAAATAAATTTCAATTTCAAATATTCTCAAGAAAAGCGAATTGGATGACAGGTTGGATGACTAGATTTAGAATGCGCGTAATGTGTACATTGCTCGTATTTTTGGATTCCCGAACAGAGAAAGGTTTGAGAACCATTGGTCTATTCTAGAGCGTAAGTCTTTGTCGTACCGCTAAAACGTCGCGCTATGAATTGCTTCTGCGGTGGGACTTGAATTTCAATTTATAAATTATTAAGTTTTTTCCAAAAACTCCAATCATGCGGAATTCACTACCTCACAACTGTTTTCATGATCATATTGACATGAACTAACTGCTTGGGGTCTCTCGCCAATCGGTATTTATCAACGAACAATTCTAAACTTCAATTCAATATTGACTCAATAGCTCTTGGCTTTATCGGAGGTCCGTAACTTCGCTCAGAGATCAACGCTCTTTATTTCTGAGCGAGTGCACATGACCTTGCTTTTATTCCACATCTACAATACCAGATGAAACCGCACGTATTTTTGAAATGTGCTCTGGCGACAGAAGAATGAAATAAGAGAACAATGCTTAAATATATGGACACTAAGACCAAAATGAAATCTTTCGGTATCCTGGACAAAGCTCGAACTGTGGAACAACTGCGGTAACTTACCAATACTTGTACCGGAATGTCTTAGCTGTTTCAGGTCTTGTGACTTTGATTCATGCTTCCCGTTTCAACTTGAATCGAAATACCGGAAGATCCGATTCAACACTGTATTATCAGATCCGGTACCGTAGTCTACCCTGTGAAAAAGCTCCCGACTTTTGGAAGCCGCTGACTCGCGACGGCAGAACTGGTACAATTGATTTTTATATTTGCTTTTGTTATACAAAACATCAGGTAGAATAACGAAACCCACAGGACGTTGTAAAATAAAATAAAAGTAATGGGCCCTCTAGCGACAACAAACAATCTACTTGACCACTAAAAGAAATATGCGTCTCCAGTAGGTTAAATGAGAAAAAGCTACTTTTTTTGCAACAACAAGGAGAAAATAGATGAACTAATAAATGATTACCCAAGAACAACACAACATTAAATAACAAAACGATCCATAAGGTTAGACTTTTTTGTCCAATAAATCTTTCTTCTAAAATCCGCGCAAATGTGTCTCCCAATAAAACAATCGCTGATTTGGAAATACCAATAAACAAACGCAGTAGAGCGAAGAATAAGGAAATGTTAAAGGAAATATCCAGAATTATCGCCACTGAAATTTGCTACAAAATATTAATGATGTTATAAACATTTGCAAATCTGCATTTCATAATTTGATCCATGGCGTAAAATTTTACTAGCTTAGAGGCAAAGCGGAATTTCTCACTGAATTGGTTATAGCGGCTCGTTTCTTGATTTGAAACAAAATGACTTTTCTGAATTTTCAAATCCAAACTGGCATTGATATATAATGAGGTTTTGACATCACTTCAAAAACCCTGTGAAATTCCACAGCTGAGAACTCGACTTCGACCCGAACGTGACTATTTCCCAAAAATATGTATCCCAGAATTGTCCAGGATTTTATCAACACTTTTCACTGGGATGTTCGTGTGAAACTCAGCACAGCATTACCATAGTACTGGCAACCAACCGAGTTCGACGACTAAAAATTCGTCTTTGTCAAGGCTACACTTCTAACAAGGCTAGAAAGTTCATAAGAAAATATTCGCTATATTATATGTAAATAAAATTGATGAGAAAAATTTGAAGTTCGATCATTATTTCATGTCAAATCATAGGCGAATATAAACTAACTAGACATGGTTTTCCCGACATTCAAAATAGTCATGTAGCGATCTCAAGTATCAGCCGCAGACTTGTCAGTATCGTTTAATGATTGACAAAATCGTAACATAGCAACAAGATTCAACACTCAAATTAGTCTTGTTTCCTCGTTTTTTTTTCTTTCCTATCAATATTCTACAAAATATAGATCAATGACAAAATATACGTAACTGGGTGATATTTAAAATGGAAGACAAATTCTTCAATCGACTATTCAACCACCAACAAATTAAGTTCAACTACAACTAATAGCATAAAGATAGATACCCAAAACTTTTAAAACTGTTAAAATATAGAAATTACATTATAGAATCCAACTAGATTGACATTTCAAAGTCTTACATCAAAATAAATAATGAAAAATTAGCCGATCTATATTGCAAGATTAAAAAACTTAATGTCCTAAAATATTTGTAGAAAAAAATGAATAATTAGTTTTCTTTTAAAAAGATTGATGAACAATATATAACAATCTGCCAATTGCATCAAAAACGTCGAAAATTATGATATTTTCAGGTAATATCTCTTTTGAATATCCAAATTATATGTGGCTTGCCAAATGATTTTGGAAATGGTGTAAAAAAACTTTGAATTTCTTAAACTTGTTAATAAAAAAAAGTCACCCTCAATTTATTTAATTAAACATATCAGTAATAAAATAAATTTAGTCGCTACAAATGTGAAACCTGTTAATGTGAAGTAACTATAAGAAATATTTCATCTAAAACGTAATGGCACTTTGATTAATATTTGAAAACTATTCACAAAATTTTGACATATATTTATTGATGTTTTATTTTTATTGGTTCTACATACTAATTAGTGTCTCTAAAATTAGTTCATACAAAATATTTTCTTCTATATGAGTTATTATCACACACGCGCCATAGCATGGGGCACCCGGTGAAACTTCTGTAACTTGTCTCTTCTCTTGTATAAATCGCACAAACGGAACAGAAGAAATTGACAATGAGATCTCTCAAACAACCACCATCAATGTCATGCTGGCGCCTGACTCGTCCTCTGATAATTGCACCAATGATGAAATAGGCAAATACATATGCAATTCCACAAATCAGGCAACTGTCACCAACTGCCGCTGCCGTCTTTCCAGCCGTGTAGCAGGGACAGATATACGTCACGATGCATAATCCACAATTGTCGAAGCAAGAAAAAAGACCATGGTTAAATTCACCCATTTTAATTGTATAATTTTAAATTGATGCTGTTGAAAACTAATTTTTAGTATTAAATTTAGCTTATCTCCGAGAAGCATTTATAAACAGTTCCAAGTTTAAAGAAAAAAGGTTTTAGCATTGACCAGATATAACTAACATCACAATTCTAAAACAGCGCTCGTTTTGTCATAGCTCAATTTAATATATATGAATAATATGTCGTTCTTGTTACCTTTTTACAAGAAAATATAAGCTCATAGATAATTTAAATCGAAATAAACTAGGCATCCTTGTCTAATGTCCCCAATGCGCCTGTAGAATGAATTGTTCAGATTTATCTCCACCACTCATCCCTTATTTGATACAACTAATTAATAGTAAACACTTGAAAAACTTAATTTTTAAGGACAGCAGTGCGACCGCAGTCAAAAATCATCTGCGAAGCCCTCCCTATTCAATAAAATAAGAGTGGAATAGAAAATGCCGTTTCCATAACGAAGATTTGCTTTCTCATTAAAATTATCACGCGTGTCATCAGCAGGTAAACAGTTAAACATAAATGAATAACAGCATTACCAAGAACGCATCAAATTTATTTTCACGAACACGGTGGAGGCTGTGAACTGTTTATATTCGAATTTTAAAATAACATCAAAACGAACAAGCTACATTGTTCATAATATTGTCTATATTTTGCCAAATGCTTTACACTTGTAATCATATGTTTCAGGATGAATTTTCCATCAATATTATACTTTATTTGTTAACTTTATCTAGTATATGGAGGAAACGAACTACGTGTATTCGAAAGCAAACACGACAACACCCCACACTATGTACACTTCTTAAAATACCCAGCAAACAGTTTGTAAGCTATGTAATAATTAATATATATAAATTTATTAATACGAATATTCAAAATCTAGTTTATCACGAGTGTTTCTGGTTAAATTTGTCAAACATCATTTTCATACATGGCGAGTGAGTAAATACTTACGACGCGACGCACACAAAATCATATTTAATATCATATAGATTGTATTGAGAATATTAATGATTTCATTATTTTATTTTGATAAGGTGCTATTGGATGTTATTCATGAACAACACTGTTTTTTTTTGCTGCATAATTAAAATAAAAAAGGGCCGCTCTGAGATTTTGAGCCTATTCACGAACTTTCAAAGCATTTCATTATTTTGATAAGGTGTTATTGGATGTTATTCATGAACAACACTGTTTTTTTGCTGCATAATTAAAATAAAAAAGGGCTGCTCTGAGGTTTTGAGCCTATTCGCGAACTTTCAAAGCATTTCACTCAAGATGAAATAGGCTGTGATTTATTGATCATTTCTTCACGTCATTGCTTATTCATATAAATACGTTAAATGTTGGATTTTAATTCATGAAAATATCACGCGCTGGAGACTAGCAATTTGTTGCCTTTTCCTTCATCTCCGTGTTTAAAATTTTATGCACTACAAATGTACTGTGGTCGATAGTCATTGACCGGTCAATCACCACGTCTTCCAAGTAGTCGATCGCGTCTGATGTTGAGTGAATTTAAAACCATACCCGAAAAAATTGCCTTGAACTAGCTTCATAAAGAGCCTGCTGAGTGTTTTAATTTGAAACAAGGCGAATACAGTACTGTACATGCGCAAAATAGGATATACGCATGCGGCATTTGAGACTGGGCAAGTCCGATAGAGCATATTAGTACATAACAAATAAAAATCTTTCCGCTGCCAAGGTTTAGAAATGGCAGTACCAAATATCGTTTGTTTTGACTGAGAAACGATCCTATACCATAACTTCTGCAGTATGCAAAAGTTATTGTC